AGCATATTTTATTATACAGCAATTTATAATACAGAGAACGTGTAATCCTTTTTAAACATATGCATGTACAAAATTACAGTGAATGCAGTGATCTGTAGTTTTGAGGAGGAACAAACTGCACGAACACCACAGTTTTACTTGTAAACAGTATAAATTAAAGTTTCAAAAGTTTTCACAATTTAGAGCCTTATTTATTTAATACACAGACTTTTATTAAAAATTAGCACTTGCAATTGGCATTGCATTTCTTCCTCATACCAGTATGAAAATACATTTCTATTTTAAATACTTCACCTTATACTCAGTGGGAAACTTTCACAGCTTTTTTTTTTGTTGTTACTCAGCCACCTAATAACTCATCTATAGCCATTACTCAAAGAGTAGAAATTGTAGAAAAAAGACTTCCTTTTACAAACTGAGTAACACATTTGAACCTACATTCCATATATCTGTGTGACATTTTTTTTTACCATAAGAAGAGTTTTATATAAAAAAAAAAAAAAGAAATAAAAATGAGTAACAATGAAATTGACGTTACCAGTCCTAGGGATACAAATAAGAAAGGATTAGGTCTGACAGTAAAACAATGGGAGAGAAATACTAAAATAACTGCTGCTGTGAAAAGCTTCATCAATCCAAAGCAGGGTCAGAGGGATAGCATTACATGCTACATCAAATCTGGCGGGGATAGTGGTAAAGGGCATTTGAACTGCACATGAGATAGTGGTTCAGTTTTTTAATTACCTAATACAGTCAGAAACATCTTGGAAGTAGCTTTCTTTGCAACATAACAAAGTGCCTTGACTATATGAATAAACATCTCCTTTTGGTTTACAAAATAGGAACCTTCCACTGAAATATTTTCCACCTAAAAAGTTACCTAGTATTGTGGTACAGCAGTGGATTGTGGAAAAAAGATAACCTCTTTAAAAGGTTCTGTACATGAGAAGATTGCCTGCACTAGCACAGAACTTATTAGCTTAATTGGGGATCTGCATGCGTGCATATCTACATGATGCTCCTTGCAGGCAAGGCCTGTAGATATTTTCTTTGGAATACATTTTAACAGGCTATACAGATGTAAAACTGTAATTTATTTTCCTTAAAACAATACAGGATTTTGTAGTCAATACAAAAATAGTTACAAAGAAAAATACTTAAATCATGTGAGGCCATAACTGTATTTCCAAGAACAATTAAAAGAAGCTGCAGCTTGTCTCATTAAGCCACTAACGTATGCTGAACAGGCACAAGGTGGTTACAAGAACTTAAGTGATCCAAGGCGTTTTCAGAGAGTCTCACAGAAATTATTGCCTCAGAAATATGTACTATGTCACAATTAAAAAGGGTCAAAAACAATATAGGATAAAATAATACTTCCGCGTCAACTGAATAAAAATAATTTATTTACACATCATGAGGAAAAACATGAAAGGTCTTTCCTTCTCAAATAAATACATGTATTAAGGGAACGCATCCACTAACTAAAAAAATAACTTTGTGCGATTAAATGAAAGTAAATAAAAACAAAGTACAATAGTGCAATCATGTCAAAGCATAAAGCTCATGTTTGCCAAAACAATAGAAAACTTTATATATTCATTAATTCCATGTATAAATACATGCTTTAATTTCTAAATTTGACTATTTTTCTCCAAATTATTTTGCTTTAACATGAATTCTACATGGTATTATATGAATATTTTGACTTGATGGAGCTGATCATCATAGTTCTAAAACTAGTTCAAACTGAGCTATAGCTATATCCCCATTCGGTAGTGCTTTTTCAGTAATTTATGCATTGACCGTAAAACTACTCCAAGGTAAAACTTCATCAAGTTTCCAACCCTGAATCTTAAATAAAAAACCAACACTGTTTCAAATTAGAGTTGCTTTACATGATGTGTAAAAATTACAGAACTTAAAAAAAGTGATTTGTTTTATATAATTTGGCCAAATAACAGAGATTTCTGTCATTAAATAAACAAAGTACCCAAAGTATCAATGATCCAACCCTGTAGAGAGAAAATAGGTGTGAAGGCAGGTCCCTGAACTCACATCCTTCAAGCAAGCTCTCTATAGGCATGGATGTTCACATGGTACTCTCCGTATGATAAGAATCTTAGATATGAAAGCAATTACTGCACATGCACGCCTGCTGCTAATGCTGGGAAGTGGAACCCACATTTGGGAGAGGTACTTCATGATGTTGTTATACTGGTGAAGAGGTGGCCAAAGGAGATCTAATAGCCTATGGATACTGAAAGGAGAGTTACCAAGATCTCAGCCAAACTCTTGGTAGCAGGAGATGACATAATGAAGAGAAATGGCTATGAATTTGTAGCCACTTGGGAAACTGAGGTTGAACACGGAGAGAAATTTTTATCCAGAAGAGGAGTGCAAGCACGGGAACAGGTTGCCCGGAATGATGGTGGTATTCCTGTCTTTGGGGATTGTTTCACTGCCTGGCTAGCCAAACCCACAGCTCACCTATCAAGCCCTGGCCACTGCCCATCTCTGCTTCAGTGCTTGGGAGGTTGGACAAAACCACTTCTAGAAATCCTTCTTGTAAACAACTTTATGTGATTCTCTGATCCAGCCAAAACGTTTTGGTCACGCAGGTGTGTCAACAAGGTTTAGGCAAATGTATTCCACCTCATTATCTGCAGGCCAAGACCACAGAGCTGTCTAGCACTGTGGTTCAGGAGACACACACAGAATACTGAGACTCAGTCTAGGCCCTACAAGGTAACAGAAGTTAGTAATACTGAAGAAGCAAAATTCTGGAATGTAAATAACAGCTTATAATCAGTACGTTCTCAGCCTGAGAAAATGCAAACGTCTACATGTTGTAAGCCTACTATTCAGAAACCAAGCATTGGATCATCTCCCTCTCTCCTCCCTATTGCTGCAGGAAGAACTATCTGCAAGTACAACCCACATCAATTCTACTTCCATTTCACTCTTTTGGAGAGAGAGCAGCTTTTACACACCAAGAACACAGAAGAGGCCCTCATCAAAGTGCTTAGTTAAGCACAGTTTTCTACTCATAGAAGCTAATTACAGCTGTAATTTTCTTGTTTAAATAATTCAGGGTTAATCGCAAAACAATACATATGTGACCAGGCATATTCCTGGTACACCTACATCTCCTTCATTCTCTGCCACCTGCTCCAGATTAGTCTCAGGACTACAGTGAGTCCTGTTGTACTGCTTCATGGCAAGATGCTACAACCGTAAAGACTCTTGCATGGAATAAGGTAGAGCATGAAGATTCTCTCAGTACTTCAAAAAGGACAGCAAATATGGTTTCTTTTCTAGGGCTTAAGTATAATACAATGAAATAAAATGTTTTATTCCTTCTGGCATTAAATTTCTCTATCTCGTTAAGAACAAGAGTTCAGATAGTTACCTGAGGATTAGCTGCTCTGATCTAGAGGTTTGAAAGGATGCCTGAAACCACTGCTCTTCCTACTTTAAAACTGATTTTTTTTTTCAACGGAATAGGAGGATAAACCATCTTGTTTCTGAGAACTCCGTGTTTTACAAAACTGATAACAACGCACAGGCTATACAGTGTTCAAATATAGTGCTGATAAAATTCAGTAACAGCTGTTAGTCATACGGGTTTCCCATCAGTCCACAAAACTTTATTCAAGGTTGATTTATGGAGCTAGGTTTCAGCCTGGAGATGTTTTATTAACATACACAGAAAAGACTGAAATGGTTTGCTGGCTCTGAAGGGGCCCTATTCCATTCCCACCAAAGTTAGGGAAAGCTGAGAATAATCAGATTATGACTGTTAACTGTAGAAATAACTACAATGTTTACTACACTATAGGACTGTTGGAAACTCTTATAAGCAATAATAACTCAGTTTTTAGAGATGCTGACACCTAAAGCTACCACCCACTGGTCAATTTCACAGAATTTTCCTAAAATCAGGCAAAGGAATTCTCATCAAGTTAAGTGGTTGCTGTTCATTTCAGGGACTGCTTTTTACAAATAGTTTATACAGATGCTTGTGCATGTGCAGTAATTCTTTCACCTGAAGGTTTAAAACTTAAAAAAGGCATAAAGAATATCCATTAAAATAGATTCCTCTGTACTATTACAATCCTTCCATCAGTGTCTGAATGGAAGACATTTGAAAAACAAGGGAAAAATTACAACTCATATCTCTCTCTAATACTAATAATGATCTAGTCTAAACAAACAGGCAGGTATTGGATCACTAATTCATCTCAGTAATCCTACATATCACAGGTATTACAGTCTCTTTGGAATTTTGAACAGTAATGGTCCATGCAAATGTTCCTTTCACTCCTGAGCTGTACAGGATCAGATGTAAAGTCTGCTTTTCAGTTCTGAACCAAACCCCAACTCCCCAAATTAAATAAATTCTAACTCATCAAATTTTGCTAAATTACACCAGAACCCCATGCATCTGCCACTGTCTTCTCCCAGCAGAGATCATTCTGCTTCATGCCCTGAACTTAGGGTTTACCTGGATCTAGGCAACCTTTAAATGGTTTGGAGTTTTCTTGGGAAATGTTTTATTAAGATATAACTTCAGGCCTTCAAAAGACTAGATAAGCAGACATAAGCAAACTAATTTAAGCTGTAATTTTTTCTTTTCCTATGAGTGATATATGATATTATCGTGTTCTGCATGTAAGAAATATTGAGCCTGTAAAGAAACAAGGAGGTAAAGAAGAGAAAATATATTATAGTATTGTATGCAGTAATTACTGTAACATTGATTCTGAGCTCACTTCATTGACTTACATCACTTAGGAAAAGTGAAACCAGAGCCTATGGGGCAAAGCAAGTACATAAATATGAATGAGCAGAAAGTAGAGTCTGGAGTTCTAACATGATGTGCAATTTCTGAATACACAAATGTATGTACCCAAAACAAAAAGAATACATTATTGAAATCCTTCATGATTTTTTTTTTTAATATACAAGTTATTTAGTTCAGGAAAAGTATCTGTCACTTAAACATTGCAACAGTTTTTCGTGAGTGCTGATTTTTTGACAGGTGTCCCAGCCAGGCTGGTTACTGACCTCGTATCATCTTGATTATCACTTCGTTTTCGCACTTCACTGTAAAAAAAAACCCAAACAAACAAAAAAATGCACTTAATGAACATATTTCTATTCAAGTTCACTGTTCCGTTTCTCCCAGGGTATCTAACAGAGCTCACCATCATCTATTGCATGGTTAAAACTATGGGGTTTAGTGCACAGAATCAACATGTCTCTTAAGTTTCCACTTTGGGAATCATATCAATATTTCTATACAAATCACAGTTAGTGATAGAAATATAATAATTTCTGACATGTAGTAACTCCTCAATGTTCTCTTTTCCATTTTCTTTTGATCATTTTTCTTTAATCTGTTTGCTTCAGTATATTACCATAGAAACAGAATATGTTCATAGCTGAAAGTACAAAACTAAAGAAATGTAATTTCAAGTATAAATTTACCCTCAAAGGAAAAACACACATTGTAGGAGTTTTTATTATAAATGCAGACTCAAAAGTTGTGTACGCACAAGTGATTATTGATCTGTATTCTTACTATGGGCCCCCTAGAATGTCAAAAGCCAGCAATAAAATTTCTTTCTTTTACATATATACACATCTAAAAATAATTTAGGCCCTCTTTATATTAATAGAATAAATTCATGAACTTCCTCTCAGAACACTGTATTATTCATCATAATGGTGGCAGAAAGTAGCAACAAAACGTAACAGGTAAGTCTGTAAGACTATCTGCTCTAATGAAATGTTTATTTAGAAATGTTCAATTCAAAATGAAATCCTTCTTTCAAAGAATACAAATTACTAAGACTTGAGTAAAGAAATTGTAGCCAACCATTCCAGATCAAGGTTCTGGGTAATGTCTAGACCATTTCAGTATAATGAACTTTGGGAAGAAAAATACTGATTTTTTTTTTATTATTTTTTCTGAGATTCAGAAAAGAGAGGCTCTAACTGCCAAAACATTCTTTTATCCTTGAAACAGTTAAACAAAGTTATCATGTTTAAACATTAGAGATAATTTTCCAACTGTGATTAACATTATATAACTGTGCTGTGTATGTTCTCTAATTTCATAATCCACTGTTGCATTCATGACCAGATTCTTGGAAATGACTCATTTAACAAATCAGTAATTAACTTCACATTGACACTGACAGACAAATAATTGCCTACGTTCTTGCTTCATCTCTGATGGATGCATTTTCCTGGAAATAAGGGTGCTCTTGAAAGTCCTATGTGAAGAAGTAATAGTTCTCTCTAGAAAGCCAGTATTTTATATGCAAGCTATATTCATCAGTAGTATTTTAGCAATGAATAACCAAATACTGACCAAATGCCAAAAAGTTTTATAATTGCATTAGGCTGCTGCAAAAAATCACATTACTATCGTTTGTAATTCTGGCCTTGAGCTCCATGTATTAAACGGAAAAATCACAGGCTGAGGATTCATTCCGTACCACCAACCCTTCACAATTATGTTGTAACCAAGAATGTTTTGGAAAGGTAGTGTTAAGTGTAATGTTTGGCTCACACACAATCACAGAAATACCAGGTTGCTAAACAGATATAATCAGAATTTAGAGAAAGGGACATCAAAGAAAATATGTGGGATTAGAATGGTCAGTCATAAAACTGAATATATATTAATATATGTGAAATAATTAAGAATTAATTATACATAGAATTATATGCATTTGAAAGTAATTTAAGAAAGAATTAAGAAAGTAAATCCATGTAACATTTAAAAACGCAATTCATTTACCAAATAGGTTTTAGAACTGTGAGCTCCATAACTGAGCTCTAATTTAAATATTAATTATTAAGACAGCTTTGTAAAATTTGCAAGCAAAAATGTTACTTGATTAAACTGAGAATAAATCCCGTCTTGCATTTATCTATAAAGATTTAACATGCTATTCTTTTTTAAATTTTCATTGCTGAATAAGATGTTGGTACAATTTTAAATGTACAAGTATGTCTCTGTACGTATATTCACATATAATGTCCTTTTTATAAAATACACTCAGATGTGTTTATTCAAAAATAGAAACATGGCTACTTACCGAGCAAGATGAAGAACTGCTTCTACAATATTAGATCCGTCTTTAGCACTTGTTTCACAGAACAGTGCATTATAAGTCTGTGAGTAAAAATAAAATGTTAAACCAGGCAATCTGAAATGGTTCCCATCTGAATATGTATATTCAATTACAAATCGTTTCCTCAATAACACAAAGAAAGATGACACACATTTAAACGAACAGGATTTCTTCTGGTACTCTTCGTTCTCCAAAATATTCATTTTAGTACGGCGAAAAAAAACAGTAATTGCTTTTTAATTGTCTACTTTTTATATTCAGTATATATTGAATTACCAAACTGAATAAAAAAATGCATCGTAGGCTTAATGTCCAAACTCAATCTTCTTGTCCACAAGACTGCAAAACAGGTAGAGGGTTTCTAGGGCAGGTTACCAAATCCAGTAACTTGGATCCAGTAGCTTGTTAGCTACTCGTAAACTACAGCATCTAGTGTTCTATCTTAACCAGAAATATCATTCCCTAAGTAACAGACATGATACCCGCCCCAGTATAATCAATCAATTGCGCAAGCACTCAGCAACTGAAGACTCCGAAGATTCTAATTTTTTTTCTGCGAAATATGGGATATGTGCATCCCTTATCCTCCATATAAACACATGCAAAAACCTTTCCCACACTTCTATTTATAGCAGAGTTCCTTTTTTTTGATGCAGACGTGGCAGGAATACAAGACAGTCTTCTGAAGATGAAAATATTCCACTCAAAAGACGGACAGACACAAGCCAGGTGGAAAGCCTCATACGGTCACCAGTGTGCTTTATATTTGCACTGGCAATTCCTCTTTGGCAGCAGAAAAACTCGGTCTCCTAGTCCATCCACTTTTTCACCAGGAAGACTAACCCAGCCAAAAATAAAGTTGAGCTCAGTGGACACAGAAATGTGATTCAGCCCAGCAAACACCATCGAAATAGGACAGCTTTCTGGAAAAGTACCTATGAATCCCAATTACTAAATTCGAACAAAAGACCAGAAAGTTACTTTTGTTTACTAGTTTCAAACACGGTTTTCAGATTAAAGTTCTTAAGACCATTTCACACTAAAGAGTTAGATTTGGACCTTACCATAGCCAGCTTTTCTCCATAGTTTACAGGCACACATTTCTGCCCTTGTTCTGTAACAGCCTGACGGAGATCTGCTTTGTTTCCCACCATCATAATTGGAATATTCTCATGAGTTGCATCCTGTAAAGAGAATTTTATTTTCATATTGCTAGAACACTCAAAATACAAAAAAAGTAACTAGCATCATCATGTCATACTGATTTCCTTCCCACAAAAAAAGCCTTGCACATTATCATAAAAAATGACAAACTATGAAAGTCATGCTGAGAACTTTTCACGAGTTAGTCAATATTTAAGCAGCCAGCGTAAACATCAGCCTGCAAAGACATTCTTCCATTCCCATAAGCCCTGCTTCCCAACAAAGAATTAATGTGTTAAATTAATGTAATGGAAACAGTTACTGTATCTAAATGCTATATGACAAAATGACTATGGGAAAAGTCATTTTACTCCTTTACCATGATCAAAAGAAATGGATTTTAGAAGATGAATTAAATATTTTGCTTATCATTTTCCCTCCTATTGAACATCTCTGGTACGAGAGAAAAACCCTTTCCATTAAATGCAAATTTGTATTCAAAGAAACAAACAATATGTAATAGTAGAAATACTAAAAATTTTGCTTACACTATAGCTGATTTACGGAATCTAACACATTGGTTTAAAATTCAGAGACTCCAAGGAATACTCAAGCCATCCACAAGAGGGTAACTAAAATGAGTTCTCATGTTCATTTCAAAAATTTATACCAAAAAAATGTATCAGTTTGAACACTAATTGAATATATCAGGATATATTTAAGACTTCAACATAGCTTTTACTTCTATGAGAGAGTTCAGTCAGGCTAATTCCAATATACAGATATTAGAATTTTATAAACAATAAGGCTAAAAACGTGACGAAACATAGTTTGTAAGTTGCATACACTTAAGGTTCTTACCTCGATCATATCCACCCATTCTCGTACATTAAGAAAGCTTTTTTCACACGTTACATCATATAGCAGTAAGACACCATCTGCTCTTCTGAAGTACGATTTAGCAATACTTCGGAATCTTTCAGAAAAAAAGAGATTCGCACAAGGTCACATTATCGGAAAAAAAAAATCAATTGAATATCATTAGGAACACAGCATTACTTTATTGCACTGCTGAGTAAGATTTTCTCCACATTACAAGGTAAGCTTTCTCACAGCTTCTTTCCTAAGTAGTTCTTGAAAACTGCTGATGCAGCATACAAACGCTCTGTAAGGATCCACAGGATTCTGTCCTAAACAGCAATCAGCATTTTTTTGCGTCAAAATAATCTATGGTACATCTATGATAAATAATCTGCTTTGCACTGGATTTTTGATTAGGTGGCAAGGCTTTTTCACTTACAACTTCATAAATTGAGTGGGCTACTCTGCTACATTTGAAAAAATATGAAACCAAATAACTTGTTCCAGGAATGAATTAATCAGTTACAGTCAACTTTGCCATTAACACAACACAATCTACTTAACAACTAAGTACAGCAACTAAGTATTTACATTATACATTAAAATATTCTTCACAAATGTATTATGTGGGAGGAGAATGATTGGGCCTCCAACTACTTACTTCACATTATCACTTACTGAGGCAAAAGTAAACACATACAGCCCAATACAAATCTCGGTCAATGAACAGATTAAACTGATTTCCAAGGTGTTAGATTAACCTCTTAATAAGCCCTAAAAGCTGTCAGTAAAGGAGTAATAGCTCTCAAGTAAGGACGTTATAAGATTCTGAGGAAATTCTACATAATAATTTGAAGAACCTTGGATATACATTCAGCAATCTGCACATGTTTTCCATAAGTCTTTTCAAAGTCTTTGGGAAGAAGTTTTGATGCACTGAACACAGTGCAAATCAGAATCAGGAATTTCAAGCAAACAAGAGTAGAGGCGGGTGAAGGGAAGGGAATCTCTAAGATAAAGCCCACTCAGAAGTACCAGTCTGCAAGGACTAAGAAAGCAAAAGACTGAAACAGAAGAAACAATGTACATCTGCTCCAACTTTTTCTACTACAAGAGAGGGACATATGGATTTAATTAATTAATGCTATGGTGAACCTCAACTATTTCTCTCTGCAAAGAGAAAAAGGTACCTCAGGCATCAACAAAGCTAACAAGTAAACACTGCACCTGTCTTGGGGTGTCAGCAGAGCAAAATCACATCTGTCTATAGATACATAATATTTAGTGAAAATTTTTTCATCTAGATGAAACAAGGCAAATGTCTTTTAGAAACAAAACAAATGAAATTACATAAGTACAGAGAATCACTAACCTTTCCTGCCCAGCTGTGTCCCACAGCTGTAGAACTGTAGGTTCTCCATCAACAATTAGTCTTTTCATTTGAAAATCCACACCTGAAAAGAATAATGTTGTCCTGGCTTAGCAAAACATGTATAGTCTAATCAAAAAGATAAGTAATCTTAAAAAACTCACAGAAAATGAAAAGTTATGTGCTATATACAACAGTTAGTTACTTCAAAATTCATCTCTTTAATAATTAAGAGTATGAGATTTCAGTTGTTCACATAGCACTGAAATGCAATAATCCCCTGAACATATGAAATTTGTCTTTAGAAAAACATTTAAAGAAATATGTTACTCGCACATTTTCCCAGAAGCATCGATACAAATTTGGCATTATGACCAGCAAACAAGAAGACCCCTCTCTGCTTTATTTTGCTAAATAGCTTTACGGAAGAAGAGAAAATATTTTATAAAACACACTTTATTTCAAATGCCAAGGAGGAAAAAGATAAATTATAACAAAAATCCTGACTCAGAGACAATAAGACAAATATGTAACTATGATTTGATTGGAAGTCAAAAATCAAATCTTTGGAAGCAGTAAGACAAGTTTGTTAGCTGACAGCTATAACACTATACACAACAAGCCAGTCAGAAATCCCTCCAGCTGCATTTAAACCAAAGCTTCAATAACACTTTGAAGAAATGGAGACAAAAAATAGTATGAAAGACATCAAAGGATAGTATGAAATATGAAGGAGGGAGGAAAGAGCTGAGAAGACAAGAAAGCAATGAAAAAGGCGAAAAGGAACGTACACACATTCCAAGTTCATTATACTGAAACCCCCTTTTCTGGTGCTTTGTATTGTTCAGGAACAGGCTTTGTGCTTTGCAAAGAAAACCTGGATTAGAGCAGTACCCTGTTACCCATTCCAAACAGCAGTTAGGCACTTCTGAGCTTTAGTACTCAATTAGATCTCACAGACTAAGAAACTGAGTGTGTATATTCAGGCAACCCTAGCAAGCAATGACAGAGGGTAATATTTTCACCCGCTTCTATAGAACAGCAATGAAATTCACTTCAACATTTTAAGAAGAACAATAACTATACCCAGGGTTGCACTGGTATTGCCTCGAAATTCATTCTTGCAAAGTCTTGTAAGGAAACTGGATTTTCCCACTGCCGCATCTCCAGCAAGAACAATCTTGTAAGCCTTCTCTGAACTGGGGTATTTCGGAGTACATTCGGTTGCATCTGACTGAAAATAAAAAGAACCCGTCTATTTTAACTTAGATAAAAAACACACTCCGTATCAAAGACTTTTTTTTCCTAAAAAATGGTTACCTGAGGAGTGAGAGCAGATATGTATTTCCTTGTTGAAGCAATTGAGCTGCTTCGACTTACTGGTCGTGAGGGCTTCCAGTCTAACACTGTACTGCTGTTATCAGGACTGTATGCTTCTTCATCCCTGATCTCTGGAACCTGCAAGTACAAGCTAGTGTGTTAGGTCCAGTGAGAAAAGTAGGCTTTTTTTTGAAAAGGCACAACTAAGACTGGTCTGGATTAAAGGCAGATAAAGGACCAAACAGAGCCACGCAATTCTAGTTGAAATCCTGTCAATATTCTGTTCTTATTCACATTTGCTGTTTACTATAGTCTACATTTGGCCCTTAAACATGTTTCCTATTTGGCATATATGCTTTCAGTACAGTTTCCAGACAGAGTAAATGAATTTCCACTTGGAAAATTTCACCTTAAAAAATAATTACAATAAACAAATACTGTATTTCAAAGCTTATTTTATAAAAATCAAGAATTTCCCCACATTACTCGCTATGTTATTACTATTCAAGCTACATTAAGTACAGCACAGCTGTAATCAGCACTATTCATAGCATTTTCAACTGCAAACAGAGACTAAATGTCTACCAAATGCACAGTAAAGGACTTGCTCTAAAAAAGCCCCTCACGTTCTTCGGTGCTTGATACTAGTCTTCCTATGTAGTCATCAGTAAAGCTCTCCATTTTATTAACAAATGAAATGGACACAATAACACCTTCCTACACTTCCAAATTCTCTGAGACTGACTGTGTACGCCAATGTATGCACTAATAGTATTTTTTTTCTCATATATGTGATCTTTTCATTCACTGCCACAGCTTAGTAAGAGACAGTGAATGGAAACCTATTTTACTTCTACAGTATTTGCTTTTCAATTATTAGAAAATGGGCTCCTGTATGGATGCTGTTTAACAACCTTCAAAACCCCTGTGTACTTGAAAAATGAAGTTATTATGTAAAAAATCTATCAAAAATATGAAACCAAATATTTTATTTTAAAGAGGAGTAACTATTTACACATTCTCTGAAAAAATGTCGCTGATCTTATTTAAATGCATACAACCCAAATACTTAATTTTAACTGGCCTATAGGCAAAGGTCCATTTTATTCTGAAAACAGGAAACTAATTTTGTCTCCAAGCAAAGGTCTTTCTCAGAGAAGGAGCAAGTCTGGCACTTACATCTGTATCAGAAGCATCACCACCAAAGCTTTCCTGCATACACTGTGACCTTTGAAAAATCCTTTGATGCCTGTATTCCACTTCTGAATCGTAGTCATTTGAATCTCTCAGGGTAGACAAACCACTGTCAAAACAGCTCTCAGGTAAGCTGTCAACTTCACAGTTCATCCTTTGCATAGGATCACAAAGGGCTAAAGAATCATAATCTTCATCCACACAAGAAGAATGAGATGATCTAAGAAGAAAATATCGGGAGAAAAAAAAAAAAAATTATTCCACAATTGTTTTTCCTAACAAAATTTGAGTCATTCTGGAATAGTCAATACTTAGAAATGCTAACTATACAGTTTAAGACAAATGTCAATGCCTATTTTGCCTTTCTAAATAATTTCTTTTTCTATCATATCTTTTGGGATGCACAGATTAAATTATATAACCTATGTTATCAATGATGACTTCCCAAGTCTGAGTAAGAATGCCTATTTATTCATACACAGGAAAAAAAAAAACTGTTTAAAAAAGATCCAGAAACTGACATACTATGAAGATATCAAAGACAGAAAATGATAGCTGATGGTTTAGATAATTTTGGCCTAATCAAAGATCAATAAAATGACCTTGAAATACTGTATCTGAATTTAAATGAATGCGTTTGCTCACAGAGGCAAAAAAGGCCGATAGGTAACAGCTACAAATATAGAAACGGGGGTAACAGAGTTCAAGCAGATCAGTAATGGTGGAAGAAGTCACTGAAACGTGTATTCTTGCAGTTTGGTAGGTGTTGTGGT